GCCTACTTTGTCCAGCTCTCCACTGAGTCGACGTTTTTGCACATACTGTCAAGTGACATTCCAACGATCTCCACACTGAGAGAGCAATAACATTGTCTCCAATAGTTGAAAACCCACACAGTTGCGACTTAACTGTTGGCCATAACATACCGGGTTGCTGGTAGGCTAGCTTCGTATCCATGTCGTCTTGTGCATTAGCTGGGTTCGGTGCTGTTTCCAGTAGCAGTCTGTAGATCAATTCAAGTCGCTCGTTCTGCGTCATCCTTTGAAATCTATCCGACACAACCACTACTTGGAAGTACTTGATCAACTGCAACGGTATTTCGCTTTTCCGCACACTCAATCCTGTGAACGGATTTGTAACATCTCGTGCCTTGGCAGCAGCATCAAGTGCAGTCATTGCTGCCTTCTCTGTATCGAAAAAGCCCACTGACTTGATTGTAACATCTTCACTGGTGAGTCTCGGCATCGTGTGCCACGTGCACTTTAGTAGTGCGTCAACGGTGGATTTCCGACAGCATATTTGGTACATCTTAACCTCCCAGCGGATCTTGCCCTGCTTCTCCTGCTTGACAGATCTGTACCAGTAGCGTTTGGTGCCCAACAGTCTATATTGTAGTCTTGCACAGCTCACATCAGTAATCTCAAGGTGAACCGTGGCCAGAGGCTCCTCTAAAGTGAGCTGCATCGACGAACAGATAGCAGAACTCTTCTCCGCCGCAGGGCCCGCAGGCTGCGTCGTCAATCGACGTCGCGTCTTCTGAGACGACCCAAAGCTCGAGAGCCGACGACGCAGTTCGTGGAGATAAGGAGACGCATCCGAGTCAGCGCCAGGTCGGCCACTAGCCCTGCGGGTGAGCGCCATGCTGGTATGGCACAGAACTACGATACCGTACAAGTATGTAAGCAATACCGTACAAATATGTAAGCAACTTGAAGCGACACAGCTGGTAACGCGTACGCGTACCATAAAAACGGTACCAAGTTGGTGGTCAATTCTAGCATGCTGGCGTGGGGACGCGGATTGCTGCGTTCTAAGGCGCCGACGTCAATCAAGACAAGATACTTATATGCCGATAAAGTGGCAGGAGAGGCGCGCTGCTTGTCGGTGCTAACGTCATCGTTGAGCCACGGAGAGACCGTGAAGAATACGCTGTCTAGCCGCTGGATTCCCCTCACTAATCGACTTACGGCTCATGGGGCCAGATATTTCTCGTCTGACACCACCAGAAGTGTGGAGATCAGTAAGAACGAGAATGATTTGGCGGATAAACAGTTGGTGGATGCGAGGAGGAGATATCGCTTCACTCGTGACGACTTCCAGCCGGTGCAGACCAAGCCTCTGCACTTTGATATGATTTTTGATATGACTGAAGACAAGATTAAAGTTACGCTGCAGACGACGCTCAAGAATTTAGGAGAGCAACCACTGTCGGAGCTCAAGTTGAACTCCAAAGAACTGGAAATCTTGTCTGTGGAGCAGTTCGACAAGTTTGTGCCCTTGGGTAAGGAGAAGAATTTCGTTGCTCACGTGCAGAGCTTCGCAGATCCTCGCGCTCTGCAGTACGAGGTGGACAAGGAGGACCACTTTCTGGTTGTTAAGTTCACTAAGCCCATTCAGCCCGGAGAGGAGTTCGTGATCCGCACTGTGTCAGTGGCCACCCCAACTGAGAACATTCTGGAGGGTCTGTACTTTGACTACACGCCTGAGGGTGCTCCCAAGACCATCATTACCCAGTGCCAGCAGCATGGTTTCCAGCGTATTGTGCCATGCATAGACACAATGGATGCCAAAGCTTACTACACCACCACCATTGTGGCAGACAAGCGCTACACTAACATCATCACGAACGGAGACCTGGCCCCTGGATATCACACAGAGACTGGCGTTCCTGTGTTCCACCCAGCATCGGAAGTACTGAGCGTGGACGATCCCTCGCGTCATGTACTGAAGTATTACAACCACAAGGTGAACATGGCGCCGTATCTGTTCTTCCTCGGTGTCGGTACGTACGAGACTTTCCGCCGCACGCTTGAGTTTCCCGATGGCGATACAACGCTGCTGGAGATCCTGGCGTTCCCGGGCTACTTTGAGCCAGCTGATGCCAAGGCTGCCGTCAAGATGCTGCACGACTCTGTGTTGTGGGTCATGGTGAGTCTGGGTCCAGAGGCCTGCGAGCACCACGACGAGCGCAAGCGCATCTACGAGCTTCTGGAAGAGCGTGAGGCTCTTAAGGCCAAGGAAGGTCCGTTATGTCTTGGGCCAAACGAGGAATATGTCAAGACTCCACTAAGCGCCTCGGATGCTGCACGCTTGGCTGCTGTTCGTGCGGAACTGAAGGAGTTGCTGAAGGTGTGGAAGAAGACCGGCTACAAGTACACTGGTGCCGTATACCGCGAGATTGCGATGGAGAATTCGTACTACGGAGGCATGGAGAACGTCGGCAACACAACTATTGTGAGTTCTTGCCTGTGTCCGAGCTGCCGTATGGACGACAAGTCGTACGAGTATATGGAGCATGTGAAGGTCCACGAATACTACCACAATATCAATGGCAGTCAGGTAACTGGCCAGTCCCCGTTCGAGATCTGGCTGAACGAGGCTGTCACGGTTCACATGGAGCGCAAGCGTGGTGCTGCCATTTTCGGTGAGGACTACAGCCGTCTGAGCGAAGTGCTGTATATGTTCACCCCGGCGATCGGACCACTTGCACAGGACAAGTCTGCGACGTCTCTGTCTGTTGAACCGCAGGGTTTCAACCAGACCCAGGAGCTTGTTTCTGTGGTGACCTACTCGAAGGCTCCTGAGTTCGTTCGTATGGTCGAGTTGCTATTAGGCGACGCTGCTTTCCACAAGGCTCTTGACATGTACCA